GACAAACACATAAAACAAAACTAATAGAACTAGACAAATCCACAATCACAGCTGTATATTTAGCACATCTGTCTCAGTAGTAGAAATAAGACCAAAAAAATCATTAAAATATAAAAGTCTGAGGACACTATAAACCATTTTAACTTGACATTTATAGAACACTATATCCAACAACAAATGCCAGGAAAAGTGTTAATCACCAATGAGGGTGGAGTTGAGACAGATGGAAAAAAGAACATTTCTGGAATATCTCCTAATCCATGGAAAGCACCTGCACAGAATTGTCATTAGCTCCTCGGTCAATCCTGTGAGGTATTATCTTCATTTTAAAGATGCAGGAAAGGGGCGCCTGGGTGGCTCAGTCGTTAAGCGTCTACCTTTGGCTCAGGTCATGATCCCAGGGTCCTGGGATCGAGCCCTGCATCAGGCTCCCTGCTCAGCAGGAAGCCTGCTTCTCCCTCTCCCACTCCCCCTGTTTGTGTTCCCTCTCTCGCTGTGTCTCTCTCTGTCAAGATAAATAAAATCTTAAAAAAAAAAAAAAAACTATGAAACAAGCAAAAATAAAATACAGGAAAGTGCATTTAAAAAAGTATTAATTAGAAATCCTGGATATGAAAAAATAGCCACTGAAATACAAAAATTCAATACATGGAGAAAACTTTATTCCAGATTGCAACCTAAATATGAAAATTACTTTTAAGATTTTATTCATTTATAGGGTGCCTGGGTGGCTCAGCCGGTTAAGCATCTGCCTTCAGCTCAGGTCATGATCCCAGGGTCCTGGGATCAAGCCCCACATGGGGCTCCCTGCTCCACAGGAAGCCTGCTTCTCCCTCTCCCACTCCCCCTGCTTGTGTTCCCTCTCTCACTGTCTCTCTCTCTCTCTTGTCAAATACATAAATAAAATCTTTAAAAAAAATAAAAAATAAAAGATTTTATTTCTTTATTTGAGAGAGAGAGAAGGTGAGTGAAAGAGAAGGAGCAAGGGGAGTGGCAGAGGAAGAGAGAGAAACAGATTCCCCACAGAGTAGGGAGCCCGACGTGGGGCTCGATCCTGGGACTCCGGGATCATGACCTGAGCTGAAGGCAGACGCTTAACCAACTGAGCTACCCTAGGTGCCCCACACCAAAATATCTTGAACTCATGACAGAAAAATATTTCCAGTCATAGGCACAAACCATGAAGAAAAACATGGATAAAATTTACAATTCCTATGCAAAAAAGGACACTAGAACCAAAGCAAAAAGAAATGAGCCACAGGATGGGAGATCATGGCAGGGCATATAAATAGTAAATTATTATCATTTGCATTTATAAAGATAGGTTATAAATCAATAGGAAAAAAGACAACCCAATAGAAAAATGGGCAAAAGAGCTCAGAGGAAATACACAGAAGAGAAAACCCAATAGCCAATTCACATTTACAAAGATGCTCATTAGTAATCAGAAAAATGCAAATTAAAAGAATAATAACAGACCATAATTTGGCAAATAAGAAGTCTGACCATACCAAGTTTCAGTGAGGCTGTGGGAAAATGGGACCTCCTGTGCATACCAACATCAATTGAAATAACCACTGTGAATAGCAATTTGGCAACATCTAAGGAAAGCCAAGGTCATGCATACTCCACATTCTAACAATTCCACTCCCAGTTACGTACTTCAGAGAAATTTTATACATATGCACAAAAAGACATGAATAAGAACGTTCACTGAAACGTTGTTTGTAATAGTAAAAAAATGGCAACAACCTAAATGCCCATCAGCATTAGAATGAAGAAATGTTGGTGTTAATATCTAATGGAATACAGACTCACACATGTGGTATAAAACATGATAGGAATAATAAAAGCAAATTCAGCACAGTGATTACCTTCTGGGAAGGCACAGGGGAAGATTAGAAATAAAGCAGGGGTACACAGGTAACTACAACTGAGTCTAATTTTACATTTTAAAAAGGAAAAAATATTAGAATCTGAGTACTGAGTAGTAGTTATATAGAACATACATTTGTTGTATTATTCTCTACATTTTTCTGTTTGTTTGAAATATTGAATAAAAAAAGATATATAAAGTTAGTTTTCAGATCCTCAAAAGGTTCCTCACAAGTGTTCCTCTAGAATACTAGAGGAGGTAGAATAACTTTATTTTTTTTTTAAAGATTTTATTTATTTACTTGACAGAGAGAGAGCACAAGTAGGCAGAGTGGCAGGCAGAGGGAGAGGGAGAAGCAGGCCCTCTGCTGAGCAGGGAGCCAGACGTGGGGCTCCATCCCAGGACCCCGGGATCATGACCCGAGCCAAAGGCAGCCGCTTAACCACTGAGCCACCCAGGCGCCCTGTAGAATAACTTTATTAAAAAGGGCTAACATATGGGATGCCTGGTTGGCACAGTGGGTTGAGCAGTCAACTCTTGTTTCAGCTCAGGTCATGATCTCTTGATCGTGAGATCGAGCCCGTGTAGTTCTCCAAGCTCAGTGTAGAGTCTGCTTGAGATTCCCTCTCCCTCTCTGTCTGTCCCTCCCACTTGTGCTCTCTCACTCAAATGTTTTTTTTTTTTTTAAAGGGCTAACATAGGGAAAACAATTTCAAACTCCTTCCATTTATAAAGCTCACTATAAAAATGACAGACTATTCTGGCAAAATTGAAATCTTCAAATCCCATATATTCCACTGCTCTGGAATTAAAGCTTCTCTTCACATTAAATCATTAATAGTTCTGTTAAAACATCAAATATATATTTAAATATTCAAAACATTGAATTAAAAATATATCAAGTAACAGTAGAAGAGCTATTAACTGGAAGTGATGGAGGCATCACTTCTGTATAGCCATTTCATGGTGCTTACAGATGAGAAAGACTTTTTTTGTGGGGGGAACCTTTAAGTTCATGGGTGCTGGCAGTTAGGAGCATAGTTCTAACACTTGCTGTGGCATATATCTGCCTTAAAACTACAGGTAGTTTGAAGTTATATTTTATGGTTTCACTGATTCTGTGTGGCTAACTCGTATCTACAACTCTTGGAAACCCCATTCTCAAATAAAAATACCCAAGTCTTAACAGTAAGATAAAAACTTGAGACTCTCTTTTTTATTTTTTAAAGATTTATTTATTTTATAGAGAGAGGGAGCATGAGTGGAGGGAGGGGCAGAGGGAGAGGAAGAAGGAGAGAAGCAGACTCCACATTCAGCAGGGAGCCCCACACAGGGCTCAATCCCACAAACTTGAGATCATGACCTGGGCCAAAACCAAGAGTCAGATGCTCAATCAACTGAGCCACCCAGGCACCCTTGTTTTCTCTACTTTTTTAAAAGTAAACTTTTTAGAATGTTAGATTTATAGAAAAATTGTGAACACAGTACAGAGAGTGCCCATATACTCCACATCCAGTTTCACCTATTACTAACATCTTACATTAGTATGGTAGATTTGTCACAATTAATGAACAATGATACATTATTCAGTCTATACAAAGTCCATACTTTATTCATATTTCATTAGTTTTTACCTAATGCCCGTTTTCTGTTCTAGGATGCCACATTATATTTAGGCATCATGTCTCCTTAGGCTCCTCCTGACTGACAGTTTGTCTGACTTTTGTTTTTGAAGACCTTGACAGTATTGGGGAGTACTGATCAGGTATTTTGTAGACTGTCCCTCAATTGGGATTTGTCTGATATTTTTCTCATGCTTAGACTACAGTTATGAGTTTTGGGAAGGAAGACCACAGAAGTAAAGTGCCATTTAATCACATCATATCAAGAATACATAGTATCACAATATGACTTATCACTTTTGATATTAACCTTGATCACCTGGATGAGGTAGTATTTGTCAGGTTTCTCCACTGTAAAGTGTACCTGTTTCCCCCTTTTTCATACTGCATTCTTGGAAGTCACCAAGCACAACCCATACTTAAGGGGTAGGGAATTATGCTGTACTTCCTTGAGGACAAAGTATCTATCTACATAAATTATTTGGAATTCTTCTGCACAGATTTGTCTATTCTCCCACATTTACTTATTTGCTCATTTATTTATATCCGTATGGACTAATGGGTATTTATTTTATACTTTGACTTACCATCCAATACTACCTATTTATTTTGTTGGTCATTGGAAACTCTTTCAGTTGGCTCCTGTGACCCTTTGATGTACCCCAAATATTGTGGAGGAGGGTTTTTTGTGGATTTTGCTTTGTTTTTTGAGCACTTCCTGGCTTTCGGGTACTATGAGATACTCCAGGCTCATTTTATATATTTTCTGCCCCAGTCCTAGAATCAGCCACTTCTATAAAGAGCCCTGGTTCCTTTTAGAGAATGGTATTAGAAATCAAGACCTGGGTGCTTAGTGTGCTTGTTCCTATGTATGTACATCAACCCATATATATACCTGTTTCTATAAATACTTCCTATATGTAACCATCCAGATCTACATTAAACAAATTCATATCGATTCCTACAACCCTAATCTATTATCACATGAATCATCCTAGCCTTCTCCATTGCTTGTCTGTAACCTTCCATTCCCACAGTGAAAAATCTCAGAATCTATTTTTCACCTCAGAAAGTTACACAAGTAAAAGGAGAAATGAACTTATGCTTTAAGAGGAAATCACTTCTCCAAATAACAGTATTTTTCTGCTGATAATATCAAGATTCTGTCAATAAAGAACTTTAAAGCAACACTTTGCTTTGGATGAACATCCAAATGTTCACTTCCCAATATTTCCAGGTCATGGCATACATAGAAAATAGTAACACTTGTAAGACCACTGAGGTAAAATGGACAAAGTTGTTCATGGCTGCAGACAGGTTCATCTTTAATTTACAGCTCTCAGAAATTCAAAGTCTAGTATACAGATAGTTGAGTTTGTGGGGGGTTTTTATCCACTCTTAACTTAGGTTGACAATTGCAGCCTCTAATGCAAAATTCTCACTCCGATTTATTGAAACTCACACTAAGAGTAACGAACAGGCTGCCGCCGCTGCCACTGCCGCCGCCAAGTAGGAGCGAGCGGAGCCGCGATGGAGACCAAGGTGAGCCCCGGGAAAGACAATTATCGAATGAAGAGCTATAAGAACAATGCCCTAAACCCTGAGGAAATGAGACGAAGAAGAGAGGAGGAGGGCATTCAGCTCTGGAAGCAGAAACGGGAGCAACAACTTTTTAAACGGAGAAATGTGGAGCTGATTAATGAAGCAGCTGCCATGTTCGACAGTCTCCTCACGGACTCCTATGTGAGCTCTACCACTGGGGAGAGTGTGATCACACGAGAGATGGTGGAGATGCTCTTTTCTGATGATTCTGACCTGCAATTAGCAACCACACAGAAATTCCGGAAACTGCTCTCCAAAGAGCCTAGTGCTCCAATAGATGAAGTTATCAACACTCCAGGAGTGGTGGATCGGTTTGTGGAGTTTCTGAAGAGGAATGAGAATTGTACATTAGAGTTTGAAGCTGCCTGGGCTCTAACGAACATTGCCTCTGGAACCTCTCAGCAGACCAAGATTGTCATTGAAGCAGGGGCAGTCCCCATTTTTATAGAGCTGCTTAACTCGGACTTTGAGGATGTACAGGAACAGGCAGTCTGGGCACTTGGAAACATAGCTGGAGACAGCTCCGTCTGCCGAGATTACGTCTTGAACTGTTCCACCCTTAATCCTTTGTTAACACTCCTTACCAAGTCCACACGACTGACGATGACACGGAATGCAGTCTGGGCCCTGTCAAACCTCTGCCGAGGAAAGAACCCACCCCCAGAGTTTGCAAAGGTCTCCCCTTGTTTACCTGTGCTGTCTCGCCTACTCTTCGGCAGTGACTCAGACTTGCTGGCAGATGCTTGCTGGGCCCTTTCTTATCTGTCCGATGGCCCCAACGAAAAGATCCAGGCAGTCATAGATTCTGGAGTCTGCCGAAGACTGGTAGAGCTTTTAATGCACAATGACTACAATGTGGCCTCTCCTGCCCTGAGAGCAGTGGTAACATTGTCACCGGGGATGACATCCAAACCCAGGTCATTCTTAACTGTTCAGCCCTCCCTTGCCTGCTCCACTTGCTGAGCAGCCCCAAGGAGTCAATCCGGAAGGAAGCTTGCTGGACCATTTCAAATATCACTGCTGGCAACAGGGCTCAAATACAGGCTGTCATAGATGCAAATATCTTCCCTATATTGATCGAAATCCTTCAAAAAGCAGAGTTCCGTACAAGGAAAGAGGCAGCCTGGGCCATCACCAATGCTACATCAGGAGGAACACCTGAGCAGATCAGGTACCTGGTCTCACTGGGCTGCATCAAACCCTTGTGCAACTTGCTGACTGTGATGGATTCGAAGATTGTGCAGGTGGCCCTCAATGGGTTAGAGAACATCCTTCGGCTTGGAGAGCAAGAGGGCAAGCGCAGTGGCTCAGGGGTCAACCCGTACTGTGGCCTCATTGAGGAAGCCTATGGCTTGGATAAAATTGAGTTTCTCCAGAGCCATGAGAACCAGGAAATCTACCAGAAGGCCTTCGACCTTATTGAGCACTACTTTGGTGTAGAAGATGATGATAGCAGCCTGGCTCCCCAAGTGGATGAGACACAACAGCAGTTCATCTTCCAGCAGCCTGAGGCCCCCATGGAGGGCTTCCAGCTATAATGTCTGCCTCCGGGGAGGGGAGGGGATGGCAAGCACCACCAACCAGCGGAAAAGCAGCCCTCGGGTGGGCGGGAAACCAGCCCCCTCATCATCAGCCACCACACACCTCTGCTGCCCTGGAAACTGTGCTCTTAACCTGCTCTGCCCCCTTCCCTGGAGGGAGCACCCTCTGGACAGACAGAACCATCTGAGGCTCACATTTGGGTTTTGTGACAAGAAGGGGACGTGTTGGGTTTTTCTTCCTTACACTATATTTTGGCTGCACATATGTCTTTAACCCAGGAGCCCAGGGGTAGACAAAGGAGGACTGAGGTAATCAATTTTGCACCTTTTTAAATTTTTTTTTTTTTTCCTTTCGTGGTGACTTCCTTCCCTTTTATCTTCCTTCATCCTTCCCAGTTCTCTGCCCTGATCTGTGTAACTCTTATCTTGGGTACTTGAGCAGATGGAATATTCCAGAGGTGGGGGGTGGGAGGGGAGGGGAGAAATTCAAAACAAAGTGTTCTTGCTCTGACAGAATATTAAAAAAAAAAAAAAAAGTAACGAACATTTGGTGTGCCTGGGTGGGTCAGTCGGTTAAGCATCTGCCTTGACTCAGGTCATGATCCCAAGGTCCTGGGATGGAACCCTGTGTCAGGCTCCCTGCTCAGTGGGGAGTCTGCTTCTCCCTCTCCTCCCCACTTGTGCTCTCTCTCTCTCTAATAAGTAAAATCTTTAAAAAGAAAAAAGTAATGAACATTTTCTAACCCTACCATAGTTCTAAGTAGACGATAAAACCCTGCAGCCCACAGCCATAATGCAGTGTGCCAGTCATACAGCTAACTGAGTCTGCTTAGGTTTCTCAATCTCCACGAGAGGATGCCAACCTGACGGGCTGCTAGTTTGATCTCTAAAGGAGATGAATCCAGTGTAACTCAAAATAAAATACCCACAGTACAAGTACTAAACTCCTGGGCAGCTCTTATCAAAAGCCCTGTTGAAAGCAATGACATTTAAAGATGGGGAAACTGTGCAGTGTACTCTCCATGTTACCCTTAGATTAGGCCAGACCTGGAACCTGTGAACTCGGTCAGATCACACAGGCCCCTGATGGCACTGCTTTCAGATTTTTTTTTTTAAAGATTTTATTTATTTATTTGACAGAGAGAGAAATGGTGAGAAAAGGAACACAAGCAGGGGGAGTGGGAGAGGGAGAAGCAGGCCTCCCACTGAGCAGGGAGCCCGATGTGGGGCTCGATGCCAGGACCCTGAGATCATGACCTGAGCTGAAGGCAGACGCTTAACGACTGAGCCACCCAGCCACCCCCAGATTTGTCTCTTGCTGTCACAGCCTCAGTTGTCAGAGAGACACTTAGAGAAAGTGCCTGATGAAATCCATTACATTTACATCTATCATAAAGGTAACGCCAACATTCGTTCCTTCATTCCTCAGTGCTTCCTACAAGAAGCTAAGGGTTAGGAAACCCTTCACCTGCTTGAGTAATAAGTAAATTCTCTCCTCTTTAACCACCTCCATCATACCTTCCTTTTCATTCTGGTTGCCAAGAAGCCTAGAGCCATTTTTGTTATTGCATTATAACAATACAGGCCCTTAATGGTTTACGTATTAATTAGGTAATATTTTCCCTGGTCTTAACCACCCACCATATATTTTCAGTGGTTCCTGATTTCTTATTTTCTGCTCCTATCTTACCATTTTATTTGTGTAGTGTTCCATGCTTCTGAAAACCACCTCAAATCCTTTGTGGAACGAGGTAGCATAAGTTAATACACATATAATCCTATTATTACTATACTTGTTCAAACTTGGCAGTAATGACAGGATTAATGGCCTATAGTGGGCAACTTGGTTAAGAGGAAAATTTTTTACCACATTCTTATAGAAGAGATTGAAAAATATTCTCCAAAATACAAAGAAAATAAACAACTGTTCTATAAGAACATCATTTTCTTATAAGACACTAATGACATAATTTTAAATTCTAGGCCACCAAGAAAAATACTTTTCTAATTAGATCCCCGTCAAACATCCATTTTCTCTATACGCATTTCTGTGTAGCTCTTCTCCACCATGGTGAACTTTTATCTCCTTTCTTAACCGCAAGAACTATACAGGTAGTGGCTATACCAAGAATTAAAATCATACCTAATAAGTGTCAGTAGGTACACTAAAAATACACTCAGGACAAGCATCTTGTCTTTGTAAGGAGAAAGGAAAACTAACATTTAGTGAGTACCTACTCTGTGGCAGACAATATGTGGGGCACTTTATATATACCACTTGATTCAATCTTTGAAGCAACCCCAGAATATAGACAATATCCCTGTATTACAGTGTCTGAAATAGCCAAAGCTCAGGGATTAAGTGATTTGCCTAAGGGTACTCAGCTATTTAAGTGGAAGCCTCTAGATTCATACCCCCATACTGTCTGGTCTAAAGCTCTGCTCTGTCCATTCCTTCACCCCTTGTAAACAACCACACTGCTTTTATAAGCTCTCATCAGTGCACCTAAGCTAGGGAACATTTTAAAGCTAGGAGAACAAGATAGTAACCCTTCAACAGGATGATAAGGATCCATAAAAATGCTTCTGTGGAAGAATAGGTTAGAGCCAAGCTTATCCAACTGGCCTTCAGTGTTCTCTCCCTCTTCTGCTTCTGCAGCACTTACAGTTGGTACCATTCACTGTCACCGACCCAAGGTTCTTTACCCTGTGCATTGCCTTTACACACACACACACACACACACACACACACACACACACACACGCACACACAATCTTGTCTCTCCAAGTCTCAATTTCTTAAATGGCACCACCATACGTTACATATGCTTTCCCCCTTCCATTCTCCATATTATAGAAGGTAATCAGAAAAGTATCAAATGAATGAATGGGAGCATTCAATCCTTAAGAGGGAAGTTACTGCTGGATATATAAGTTTAGATCGCTCTACCTTTCTCAAAGAAGGCCGCATCTATCTCCTTCATCCACAGTAAGATGTACCTCCCTTACTGCAGCAGCACGACCTCTGAGAAGCCAGAAGAAAGTTCTTTCATGTACAACTAAAACTACTTACAGCATAGCATAAACAATTTCTATATTACTTTACTTCTCCCACAATGAAATAGTCCTGATTCACTAAGACTTTTCTTGAATTTCTCAGTACAACCTGTCCTGCTGTAAGATTCACAGAACTAAGTCCTATGTAACACTGAAGGATTTTTTAAGTTATCTCTAATAAAATGTTGACAAGAGCATAGTTAAGATAAGAGCCAAGACATGAAAGGAAACATAAGTTCCATCAATCAGATTTGTATGTGACACATTCATTCATTCAATATTTATCAAAGGCCTGTAACACATGTACTGTTGCTGTTTTAGATGCTGAGGAGGCAGAGAAATGAACAAATCCCTGCCCTCATGGAGCTGCCCTTCCACTGGGGGATAAAAAGCTAAGGAGAATGGTTGATAACACTGGCTGGCAAAAATCAAGACTTGAAATCAGTATCAAGAGACAACCGAAAGCAACAAAAGCAAATTTAATGGAGAAAAATATATATAGTATTTTACATGTAGAGTCCAGGAAATTAAATGGATAAATATGAATGAGAAGGGGTTATACAGCTTTATTCATGCAATAAATACATATTAAGTCACAGACTCTGTTGGGCACTGGGGATCTAAAGTCCCTAATCTCAAGAAGCTCATAATCAGAAGAGACAGACAGACAAGGACAGATCAGTATACAGTGTGATAACTGACCAAGGTATGAAACATATATTGGCACCATTAGAAGGGGTACCCACTCCGGGAGGGGAGGTGCTGTCAGACACTCTTTCCTCAGGGTAATAACCAAACCATCTTGAAGGATGAACAGGCCTTAATCAGGCAAGGACTGGAGAAAAGAGGCAGGAACATTCCACATAGAGGGAACAGCATGTACAAAATTAATATCTATATTAATAGATATAATATTGTGGTTGTCAAAAGGTACAGCCAGAATCACAGTACAGGTGTGTCTGTTGTTCTAAGAAACAGAGTTCAGGGGCGCCTGGGTGGCTCAGTCATTAAGCATCTGCCTTCGGCTCAGGTCATGATCCCAGGGTCCTGGGATCAAGCCCCACATCGGGCTCCCAGCTCTGCGGGAAGCCTGCTTCTCCCTCTCCCACTCCCCCTGCTTGTGTTCCCTCTCTTGCTGTGTCTCTGTCAAATAAATAAATATATAAATAAATAAATAATCTGAAAGAAAGAAAGAAAGAAAGAAAGAAAGAAAGAGAAAGAAAGAAAGAAAGAAAGAAAGAAAGAAAGAAAGAAAGAAAGAAAGAAAGAAAGAAAGAAAGAAAGAAAGAAAAAGAAAAGAAAAGAAAAGAAAAGAAAAGAAAAGAAAAGAAAAGAAAAGAAAAGAAAAGAAAGAGGTCATGTTAGATGTTTGGAGTCATCGTTAAGTTTTAACCTGGGAATTACACGAGCAGATGGTATTCTAGAAACTCCATTCTGCGAACAGTTTAGACAGCAGACTATTCACGGGGGAGACTGGGAGGGAGGCAGCTGCAGGCTGCTACAAGTGGCCAATGACGATGGTCCAAACCCTCAGAAGTAGCAGGGCATCCAAAGGGACAGATTGGAGATGTGGGTGGTAGAATCAATGGAACTTAGACTGATTAGTTATAAATAAATAAAGGGAGTAGCAATAGGCTGACTCTTAAGTGATCTGGCTAGGTGACAAAGTGAAGGGGATGCAGAGGCAGAGTCTAAGAATATGGAAAATAAATGTGTTTGGGAAGTAGGGAAAGGGAAAGATGAGTTTATTTGAAAATGCCAGCGACTACTCAATATGCCTGGATGTAAGGCAAGTTTCTTCTTCCAAAACGGTTCCTCAGGAATAATTGAAATAGTTGCTTTATACTAAATTCTCTTTCAAAAGTTTCCATACATGGGGGCACCTGGGTGGCTCAGATGGTTAAGCGTCTGCCTTCGGCTCAGGTCATGATCCCAGGGTCCTAGGATCGAGTCCCGCATCAGG